CCCCAAAACCCCAAAACCCCAAAACCCCAAGTCCCAATATAATAGAATCACAATCAAGTATAATAAACTTTTAAATCTATATATCTAATTAGATTAATTATTATTATCAAAAATAGGGATTATCCTTAGTGTTATCAAAAGCTGGCCCTCTTTTAACCATATCCAAAAATTGGTCAATTGAGATCTTATTTTTTACTATGTTAAATGCACTTATGTTCTTACCATCTTAAAATCTTGATGATGGTGGTGATGAATCTTTTTCTATTTAATCTCCAAATTGACTTTAATCTAATATCTGGCTTCCCAATTAGGAAAATAGGGATTTATTTAAATTCAAAGCACTACTAGGAGGTATTATAACTCTTTGATTTGATTTAGAATTTTGCCTATTGTCAAACGATAAAAGTTGTTTATTGGATATGGAACTTTAATCAGCATAGATGTACTTATTTTACACATAGGAACTTTACTTCCTAATTAGCTGCTGTTTCTGGCTTAAGTTAGTTCCCAATCTCTAGTATTGTGCAGGAGGATCTTTTGAACCATCATTTAATCTTGAATTGTTTAAACTCTTGTCCAATAATGTACTATTTTAGTGCTGATACTTTCTTCCACTGACATTAAAAATATCTTGATTTACCTTTTTATCGGTTCCTTTAAAATAACTATTGTAGATACTTGAGGGGTCAAACATTTTCTTCTAGAATCTCATTTAATACATTTCTCTCATTTCATTATCTGATTTTTCTAATCTTTAATTTGGCTATAATGGCTAATTCTGCCTCGATTCACTTCTATTTTAAATGTTTTTGCGTCCTGGACTTACTTCCTTAGTACTTAGAACATTTATTCTCTATTATAATTGTTTTGTATTCAAGTCTAAAAAGAAAGCATGTTCTAGAGCTTAATCACAAGTCGGTCTCTCTGAAGGGTTAAACCTAAATAGCCATTCAATTAAATCAACAGCATATGGACTAGCATAGCGAAGTTTGCCTGCTAAATCTATCTTTGGGAGATTCATTGGAATATCAATATTCTTTTCTCTTGCTACTTTGAATCCCTCTGGCCACTCCGATTCATTTGGTGATCCTAGTACTTAACAGATTTTGCTCATCTAATCCATTGCAGAACTTCCAGGAAATATTGGCATTCTGAGATATAACTCAGCCATGATGCATCCTATTGCGAACATATCAACCTTTGTGTCATATTTACTGGATCTAACTACTATTTCAGGAGCTCTATACCATCTTGTTGATATGTATTCTGTAAATAATCCCTAATTTGCTTGATTTAGATCTTTGATAATTCCAAAATCTGTAATCTTCAAAAGACTGTCATCCAAAAGCATCAGGTTTTCTGGCTTTAGATCTCTGTGAATGTAACCTCTTTTGTGAATATACTGTACTCCTTTGAGTAGTTGATACATATAAAGCTTAATGTCATCCTCACTAAACATTTGTTTCTATTTCCTTTTCTCATCTATTAGCACGAATAAGTCCTTATGAAGCAGTTCATACACTAAAAATAACTTTTTATCCTGTAATACAACTTCCTTTAAACTGACTATGTTCGGGTGTGAAATATCTTATAATGCTTTAACTTCTGTCAAGTTACAGCATTGCTGAAAATCAGTCATGTTAATATACATTTCTTTAAGAGCCACAGTCTCTCCATTGAAAACATCAACTGCTTCGTAGACTTTACCGAAACCCCCAGACCCTAAAATTTTTATTTTTTTAAATCTTTATGTCATTAAATTAATTATATATTATAAAAATTAGTCTTAATTAACCTCATTTCTTTATTATTGTTAGTTTACACTAACTAAAATAACATCGTATTTGAATCACTCACTCTCCTCACTAGAATTATAATTATTATCCTCAATTTCATCATCATCGACTATTTTTATATTGTTTCTCTATTCCTTCTATTAAATCTGCTTCACTTCCTACTTATTACTTTAAAACTATTCTTTTATTCTCTTGTTAGCCTTTACTATCTCTCTTAATTTCTGACTATCTTCGTCTGAGTCTTCATCTTATCTATTTAAAGGTCTCTTTGCTAATAAATCATTATCACTATCACTCTAATCATCTTTTTGCTCCTCATCTATTAATCTCTTTTCATCCTCTGATTCCTCTGGCTCTTAATGGACTATTGCATCATCTCCATATTTTTCAAATACTTTGTCAACAAGACTCCCGTCTTCACACTCATTCAAGCCTTTAGCCATCTTGCCATACTCCTTTATAATTCTTTTCTTTTCTTTCTTAAGTTTACGCTTCAGACTCTTTTTCTAAGTTTTGACATCACACTCAAGGTTCATTCCTTGTCTCTTGTTTGCATAATCTTCTTTTTCCTTCTACTGACGATGCTCAGCCTCCATTTTGATGAGTCTATATCTCTCTTTTCTCCTTAATTATCTATATTGATGAAAGTCACCTGAGCCTGCTCCAGCTGTAGAACCATGTACATTGTCTACCTTTTCAACAAATACTACTTGATTCGGTAAAAATTTATTCTGTGATCTGATATAGTCTGGAACTACTTTATCTTTGTTTTAAGACATTTTCTTACAATTTATATAATTAAATGTAAATTTTACAAAATTTCATACCAATAGTAAAATATTTATATTACTCATGTGGGGTTTTGGGGTTTTGGGG